CTCTTCCACTCAATCATTTTTTGTTATTCCGTACATCAAGGGTGTTTCAGAACATTTTAGAGACATTGCCTGCAAACTTAACAAATCTTTGGCCCATGTGGTCTTGAATAAATTGAACTGTTTTATTAAAACGCATAAAGATCCTCTCCCAAGGGATTGTCACTCAAATGTAGTATATAAAATCTCTTGTTCTGATTGCTCAACATCATATGTAGGACAGACGAGTAGAATGATCTCGACTCGTATCTATGAGCATCGATCCAACATTGATTGACCCTCCGAACATCTATCTGTCTTATCTCAACATAGACTTACAGGACATGATTTTGCATGGGATAATGTCGAGGTTTTAGATCAAGATGCTTCTTTTCTCAGAAGAACCACCTCTGAAATGATCCATATTATACGACAGAGTAATGGTCTCAACGTTCAGAAAGATACGGAGAAATTTGACAAAGTTTATCTTCCTATTATAAAATCTTCACATTTTTAATTCCCATATCAATTTCCATTTTTATCTTCATCATCCGTTCCTGAATTCCCCTTTTCCCCCTCCCTTTCTCTCTCCATCGGATTAGCATGCCTGGCTCTCCATTATCACGCGTCTCAGTACATTTCGTCGTCTCGTTTGGTGTACACGTCTCCTGTGTCTTGCGATAATTTTGCTCTGCTTTTTCTCACTGCGATCCTTTCAATATTTCATAATTGCTTGTATGTAACTTTTCTTTAAAAATTTCATTTTTTTTGTATTAATTATTCTCTCAAAAAAATTTTTCTATCTTTTCTTTACTTCTAATTTTTTATTGCTGTTGCGGTGTTTTGCGAGAATACGTGTTGCTCTGCTTGCTTTATTTTTCAGATTATAATTATTCTGGCTTTGGCATGAATTGTTAATGCATAATAAGGAATCTTTTCAACGATATACAGAGTGTGGAACGTATGCGGTATGTCTGTCCTCTACGCGCATACGATCTTTTTCCTCATCACTCTTTTTTCTACACAGCCACGATCTTGTGTTGCGCATTGGTGAGTAGCATGCAGGCTTGCGGACATTCATACGGCTATTTCTCGCTATCTAAGAACTTAATTCTTTTATTTCTTAATTATAAATTTCGAAAGCTAATATGCGTGTATTTATCTCATATGTATGTATTATTGATATTGACCATGATTGTTTACTTGAGCGTTTCACCTTGTATTACAGTTTGAATCTTTTTGCTATCCGTTACGAGCGACCAGTATTATTTATAATTATTTTTTCTATATCATCATTTTAATTTATTTGCACTTTCGATATTATTATTATTGTCATTGCATTGAAAATGATCTGGAGTAGATCGAAACGTTTGCGAATTTAATCTTGCGTAACTAATCTATTGTATTTAAACTCTTTCTATGATATTTATTTGTAACTTAATTTTTTCTAACTTGAATCTCTCTTATGTTACCGTCTCTACCATGCAATTTCTGACTCATTTATGTTTTTTGGGAATTTTTATTCAATATTGTATCATTTAAGCATTGTTATAATTTTTGACATTTATACTGTGTGGTTTTTTTCTGCCTAATTCATATACTCAATTATCGAAGAATATGATTACGAAATCATATACAAGGCTGGAAGAGCAAACGCAAATGCCGACGCCTTAAGTCGCAACGCGATACCGGAACCATCGCTGGAAAAGGATAAAGAAATACTAAAGATAGAAGAAGAAGAAACAGATATTGATAATATAACAACATACACAGAAGAAGAGAAAAAACAGATATTATCAGAGTATCATGATGCACCTATAGGAGGGCATCAAGGAATTGAACGAACGATTAAAAGAATCCGCTTACAACATAATTGGAGAGGATTAACTAAAGACGTAGAACAATATATCGCGAAATGTGAATCGTGTCAAAAAAATAAATTATCAAGAAAAAATAAAGTTCCCTTAATAATCACCGACACGCCTAATAAACCATTTGAAAAATGCGCGCTAGATATAGTAGGACCGCTAACTATTACTAATAATGGAAATAAATATTTATTAACCTTCCAAGACAATTTAACTAAATTTAGTAAAGCTATTCCGATCCCAAATCAAGAAGCGAATACTATCAATAAGGAATTTGTTACAAAGATAATTCTTGAACACGGAATACCGGAAAAAATTTTGACAGACCAAGAAACTAATTTTATGAGCGAGATCTTTAAAAATACGTGCAAACTATTAAAAATAAATAAAATACAAACAACCGCGTATCACCCAGAGAGTAACGGCACGTTAGAACGATCGCATCGATCGCTAGCAGAATACTTAAGACACTATATAAATGAGGACCAAACAGACTGGGACGAATGGATACCGTTCGCGATGTTCACGTATAATATGACGCCGCACACCGCTACAGGATATACACCCTTCGAATTGATGTACGGACATCAAGCCGAAATTCCGACAGCGTTAACAAAACCGCCTAAACCGACGTATAATTATGATGACTATGCGCAAAAACTAAAAGAAAGACTACGCGCAACAAACCAACTCGCAAAAGAACATATAAAAGAAGAAAAATGTAAAGCCAAGAAACAATATGATAAAAACACAAAAGAAGCACAATTTAAAATAGGGGATAAAGTGTTAGTATACGACGAGACACTACGACGCGGAAGATCAAAAAAGCTAGAATCGTTATGGACAGGACCATATACGATTTTAGAAAAGAATTCCGACATAAATTATACAATAAAAAAAGGAAGGAAAACGATACGCATGCACACCAACAAATTAAAACTATTTATAGAACACTAATAAACACAAGAATAAATACACAATAATAATAAATAAATTCACTTACCCACATGGGCGACCATGTCCACGGCCTGTGGGGGGCAATCGCTTTGGTAATCGTAAGACGGCGAGGGCCCTCCCCCTGGGCACCACGTTTTGGCTACCCCGGCCCAAGCGCAGGAGGCGCTCTACGCGGCGATGCGCCCGCATAGCGCCCAAGTCTTCAAAATTCCGGGCCTCCTCCTCTCGAAAAATTTCCAAAAAATCCCATTCCTACTCAAGGAATTCCCGGGAGAGAGGGACCATCTCCTCAACCACACGCATACCGGAGTTGAAATTTACGGTGACCCGTAAAGACAACGGGCCACGCAAATACACCCCCGCACAGGCCTGCTCAAACCGGTCGCGCGGTAAAGGCGGTCCACCAGATAAGTCCCGCACTCGAGGCAAATCAGCCTCGCAAGCATAAACATTGCACGGAACTTCCTCCGACGAGGACGGATAACTCGACGTAGTTAATGATTTTTTTTTTCTCTAATAAACTGTCCAACGACTAGCGAGGGACTGAAGCTCGCAAAGGAACATTATGTAAAGCAAACCAGTCAGGAAAGACCCCACACTGATAAAATTAACAAGAAACGAAAAAATATGATACTCGCAGAGTGCATAATATAATACCTAACATATATTCTTACAGAGCACTGATATGGGAAATCAACCCCGTTCTCACTAGGAAAGACGAGAACCGTCTTCCGTTCGAGATCCTAGAATTCAGACACAACCCGGGGATCTATTATGAAAAACTAGGACACTTATATCAATTAAAAAAGACATGGAAATTAGTCATAAAACTAGATATAACTGAATTAAACGATAGAACCTGGCTTATAAATAAATACGTTCAACAAACAAACGATATATGTAAAAATGTAAAATGGGAAAATAATATCAAACAAACATGCGAAAACCTAAAAAATATTATAAACAATGGGCGCGTTCAAGACGGCAAAGCGGCTAACTTGCTCGCCGAGCGAATGCTATGCTGCTAACAAATAGCAGCTCGGACGTCGTTAAACGCTATGCTTTGGTATAACCTTGATATCTTATAATTTTTGTTAGAGAACTTTTGTTAAAGTCTTATAAATCTTGCGAAAGAAAAATGTTGGCTAATGTTATTTTAGAAGAATTGTTTGAAGACGATATAGATTTTAACGCAGTGGGTGTTGCGGCTAACTATACAGGGTCTACCAAAAGTGTGGAAACCCCTAAATATCTCGGAAAATATACGTTTTACAGAAAAGTGTTTCCAACAAAAGTTGTAGGGTTTAAGAAGATCTATATACTGATTCTATCAGTTTGACCTTGGATGGCGTCGTCAAGGTCAGGTCAAGGTCACATTGACTTTTTTAAATGACACCCCCTACATTTGATTGCATATTCTTATAGCTTAATTCAAGAGCTTTCCAAAACACTATAATAATGTTCATTTTTATTAAGTACTTTGCGAGTTATGAGGGTTGAAATAATTTCTTAATTTTACATAAACCATAAAATATCTAGTAAACCATTCATTTTTCGATTATCTTACCTTCATACTTTTATGTACAAATTAATGAGAGGAATCAATTGGTGTAAAGAAAACACATAGTTGTTTCTAAGAAAAAATATGTAATTTGCAATTAACAATTCCATATTTTTTCTTAAAAACAACTGTATGTTTTCTTTACACCAATTGATTCCTTTCATTATTTTGTACATAAAAGTATGAAGGTAAGATAATCGAAAAATGAATGGTTTACTAGATATTTTATGGTTTATGTAAAATTAAGAAATTATTTCAACCCTCATAACTCGCAAAGTACTTAATAAAAATGAACATTATTATAGTGTTTTGGAAAGCTCTTGAATTAAGCTATAAGAATATGCAATCAAATGTAGGGGGTGTCATTTAAAAAAGTCAATGTGACCTTGACCTGACCTTGACGACGCCATCCAAGGTCAAACTGATAGAATCAGTATATAGATCTTCTTAAACCCTACAACTTTTGTTGGAAACACTTTTCTGTAAAACGTATATTTTCCGAGATATTTAGGGGTTTCCACACTTTTGGTAGACCCTGTATAGGCCAACCTTTAAATGAATTTATTAACGTTCAACCACGAAATGAAATACCATTAAGAAATCAAAATTATTATGAAAATATAATATTTAATTACACTATGGATGATTTCAAAGCACACTTTAGAATGTCAAGAGAAACTTTTCAGGTAAAAAAGTTTTATTTTATTTTATATTTTATTTTATTTATTTAGTTTATTTTATTTATTTTATAGCCACATGATTTAATAAAAAATTTTTGTAGACACTATTGATTTATTTACAACACTTGAGAAATGTCGAAGATAAAGTTCCATTTCAAAAAAAGCTTCTTTTTTCAATTTGGATCTTGGCGAAACAAGAATCTTTTTTAGCCGCTGGAGATCGGTTTAATTTAGCTAAAAGCACTGGCCATCATATTTTTTTGGAAACAATCTCACAAATTGCAGAATTACGACGTGAATTTATTATATGGCCAAATGATATAGAAAGACAGCGAACATGTCATGTATTGAAAGAAAAATCGAGTAAAAATGCTTTATTTTTTATAAGATTAAAAATTATCTATACTTCTAATAATATTAATAATATATTATAAAAAATGTAAAATAATAATACAAAATAATATACAAATTTGCTTAAAAAAACTTTATTTTTAAATTTTTTATTAATATTTAAACAATTTTACTAAATACATTTATATTGCTTTTAAATACATAATTTTTCTTACTATAGGTATACCTGGCATTATAGGAGCTATCGACGGAACCCACATATAGCCATAAAAGCACCACAACATAATTTTGTTGATTATTATAACAGAAACAATTACCATTCAGTGATTTTGCAGGCTGTTTGTAATGACAGAAAAGAATTTATAGATGTTTTTGCTGGTATAGCAGGAAGAGTTCATGATGCTAGAGTGTTTAGACAAAGTCCTTTATTTGCTTTGCTAACTGGAAATGATCCTCCAATACATGAGAATCAACATTTATTAGGAGATAACGCTTATCCATTGCTTCCATTTCTTATGAAGCCATACAGAGATAATGGTCATCTCACATCAGAAAAAACGAGATTTAATGATTGAGAGTACAAATTAGGCAAAAAGAAACCACATAGTATAGATGTCAGAATCAGAAAATATTTAAAAATGATTTAAAAATAATAATAGTACAAAAATAAATCAAATTAATCAAACTACATTAATGCGTCCAAATTCAGATGGTAGAAACAGTAGTGTAATGGAGACACATCAAAGAGTAAAAATCAATAAGACAAATAATTATCATAAACAAGTGAAGTCCAAAAAGTTAAATTCGCAAACGTTTCGATCAGATCCAGATCATTTTCAATGCGGAAATAATATTCATATTACAAGTACAATTAAATTAAAATAATAATACAAGAAAAGATGACAAAGAATAATAGTCGCTCGCAACGGATAACGTACGGATTCAAACCGTGATCCAAGGTGAAACGCAAAAATAAATGCTCGTGGTCGATATCAATACTACATAAATATGACATGAATATACACATATTGGTTCTCGAAATTTATAATTAAAAGGTAAAAGAATAACGCTGACGAATAGTAATAAATGGTTGTGTAAATGTCCGCAATCCTGCATGTTACTCACCAATGCGAAGCACATAGATCGTGGCTGTGTAGAAAAAGCGTGGAAAGAAAAAAGTTGGTATGCGCGTAGAGGACAGAGATACCGCATACGTTCCACAATTCCTATATTGTTGCAAAGTTCCTTATAATGCAATAAAATATTTTTTGTTCCAAATCCAAATTAATTGCAATCTGAAAAATAAAGCAAGCAGAGCAACACGCATTCTCGCAAACACATACACAAGCAGTGCAGAATAAATGCAAAGATAGCCAGAAAAATTGTTAGAGAATAAATTAATGTGACAAATAAAATTTGAGTAAATTACGTACAAGCAACTATGAAATAACGGAATAATCGCAATGATCGAAGAGCAGATAGAATTATTGAAAAGATGCAGCGTCGTGTATACTAAACGAGGTGACGATAAATACTGAGACGCGTGATAATGGAGAGCCAGGCATGCCGATTCGATGGAAAGGGAAAGGGAAGAGGAGGGGGGGGAAGAGGGAATTTCAAGAACGGATGATGGAGAAAAATAAATTGGAAATAAATTATATTAAAAATGCAAGGATTTTATGATAGGTAGATAAACATTATCAAATTTTTCCGTATCACTCTGAACGTTAAGACCGTTGTTCTGTCGTATAATATGGATCATTTCAGAGATAGTTCTTCTAACAAATGAAATATCCTGATCCAAAATTTTCACATCATTCCAAGCAAAATCATGCCCCATAAGTCTATGTTGAGATAAGACAGATAGACTTTCGGAAGGCCGATCAATATTCGATCGATACGCGCATACCAACTTTTTTCTTTCCACGCTTTTTCTACACAGCCACGATCTATGTGCTTCGCATTGGTGAGTAACATGCAGGATTGCGGACATTTACACAACCATTTATTACTATTCGTCAGCGTTATTCTTTTACCTTTTACCTTAATTATAAATTTCGAGAACCAATATGTGTATATTCATGTCATATTTATGTAGTATTGATATCGACCACGAGCATTTATTTTTGCGTTTCACCTTGGATCACGGTTTGAATCCGTACGTTATCCGTTGCGAGCGACTATTATTCTTTGTCATCTTTTCTTGTATTATTATTTTAATTTAATTGTACTTGTAATATGAATATTATTTCCGCATTGAAAATGATTTGGATCTGATCGAAACGTTTGCGAATTTAACTTTTTGGACTTCACTTGTTTATGATAATTATTTGTCTTATTGATTTTTACTCTTTGATGTGTCTCCATTACACTACTGTTTCTACCATCTGAATTTGGACGCATTAATGTAGTTTGATTAATTTGATTTATTTTTGTACTATTATTATTTTTAAATCATTTTTAAATATTTTCTGATTCTGACATCTATACTGTGTGGTTTCTTTTTGCCTAATTTGTACTCTCAATCATTGGAATTTTTTCTCACAACCACCAAATTTGACAAACTACGAGATTTAATACAATACTAAGCTCAGTCAGATGTATTATTGAACAATCTTTTGGACTGCTAAAAGGAAAATGGAGGCGTTTAAAATTTTTAGATATGTCTAGAATCGATTTGATACCTACAGTAATTGTAGCAGCTTGTGTACTGCACAATTTCATTATAAAAAACGAAGGCCTAGAATTAGACGAAGATTATGAACAACAAAATGAAGATGATAATAATGAAATTAATTTGCGCATTTTCGATGAACATAGGGTTGCAATAGGAGATAGAAAAAGATATTATATAACTTCAATATTACGTTAAAATTAATTACAAGTGCGAATAATTTTTAAATAAATAAAATGCAATATTTTGAATTCTGTTTTATTTCTTTAAATAAAATAACGCAAAATAAAAATGAAATAAAAGACATTTTCTAAAATATAAATGCAATAGTAATTAGAAAATAAACTAAAAATCACAGACATTGTAAAATAAAAAAATAAGTACAATGTAACAATCTTTAAAATTCTTAAGATCTAATATTAATATTTTTGGCTTCTACAACAGTCATATGTCAATGTACATTTTTTAAGTTTTTAATAATATATCTGTACTAAAAAACGAATTATTAAGATTTATAAGAAATAAAAGAAATTAAAAACAAAAGATAATGTAAATTTTTCTAAAAAACAAATTCCTTCAAAACTGATCATAAAAACCATTGTAAGAAGAAACTCTGTTGCACATTTACATTACTTATATAATACTTTCAGATACTTATAATGTTTTTTCAACAAAATATGAAAACTTTTTAAATTAATATTTATATTTGATTAGATATATATTTGAAACTAAAACTAAAAGGACTAAATATAAAGAACTAGAACTTTTATCACAAATTATTATTAAGTAAAAAATATTATGATTTTCCTTGTTGAATTAATAAGTACTGCTTTAACATCTCCAGTTTTTCTCTTTGTATTGTATTATTATTTTCTACAGCTTCTCTTAACTTTCTTAATTCTTTAATTCGATCTTCTTCGATGTCTATACATTTTTTTCTGTAATTATCTATAGGTTTATTTCTTTTTCCATATATCTTTTTATTTTGTATACTCTTTTTAAAAATATTTGACCTAACACTTGAACTAGTAGAAGTAGATGACATATTGTCGTTTTCTTCAATACTTTCATTCTCGGGAATGTTTCCAGATGTAGTAATTTCTTCAGTTTCGTTCTTATTATTGTTATTATTATTCGAAAGTACAGTTGATGCTATTACGAAATTTGGGTTTACTGTCCTATCGTCGAAAAAAATTTCAGACATAATATCAAAATAAGCCCAGGAAATTCTACCAGTTCCTGTTGTTTTCTTCTTATCATTATTATCTTTTATAATTAAATATCTTGTCTTCATATTCCTAAATTTTTTATCTATTACATCTGCATCAACTTTATATCCATATTTTGTCATCTCGTCAGATATTTCTTGCCAAAGTTGCTTTTTCTTGCTTTTAGGATTTCTAAAGCGTTCAGCCCTTTTTTTGTACTCTTCCAGCATTAAAAGGATAGCTTTTTCATTCCAGGAAAAGTTATCTAAAAAATCGTTTGCAATTATTTTTTAGATTATAAAAAATAGTAATAAATAGAATAATAGAAGTTTTAGGTAATAAATAAAAATATGTATATTATTACTTTCATCATTAATTTCAGTAGCGGAAGCACAATGTCTATTCATAGTGTCTTGTGTTTCTCTTAATACATGTTGCACTATTCTCTGATTTTCAATTGATATAATTTTTACATTATGTACATACCGTCATTATTAGAAAGTAATAATACATTATTATCAATAATGTATTGACTTTCATCTTCTAAAATGATAGTTTGTGCATTTGGAATCTTCGACATGTTAATAAAATCTAATAAAATGTTAACAATAATATTAAATTTACAACAGAAGTTAAGAAAAACTGTACATACTTATTTACAAACAAATACACATAACCTACAATGCTAAATCGCTAGCTAAGAAAGCAAAGGTAAATTATGCTACGCAGCTAGGCTAGCCGCTGCGACGAAGCAGCTAGCAATTTGTACTGTTCAATGCATTTGCTCAGCGAGCAAGTTAGCCGCTTCGCCGTCTTGAACGCGCCCAATGACTTTAATACACTAGACAAAATAATAAAATTAATAAATAGCCTCTATAGAGCACTTTCAGACAAACGCAGAGGTCTGATAGATGGAGTAGGCCTAATAACAAAAACATTATTCGGAGTAATGGACGCAAATGACCGAAAATTAATAAATGAACAATTCCAATTCATACAAAACAATCAACAAACATTAAAACACGTCGCGGAAAACCAAATAAAAATCCTAAATAATACAATAATCCATTTGAATAAATTAGCAAATATACTAGATTACAATGATAAACTACTAAACCATTACATAAGAGAATATACGACGCGCGAAGAAATCGACGAACATTTTACTGTAATTACAGCAATGTTAACAGATCTAATTAGAGATGCGAAAGATATTTTAGAATACCTTACACATATTCGTAAAGGCATAATGCATCCATTATTAACACCAATAAAAGAAATAATTGACAATTTAAAGGAAGCAGCCTTACAGTTACCACGAGGTTCATATTTCTCGTTCGATAAAATACGACGAATGGCTAACTATAGAAAATTATATGGAAGTAAACGCGTATTGCGACAAAACGAATATATATACAATATTAAAATTTCCATTAATTACACAACCAATGTTTGACGTCTTAAATGTAATTCCGTTACCGACACCTAAACTACGAAAATAGTTTTGTATATACAGGAGTAGCTAATAAGTTGATTGCTGTAAATAAAGAAACACGTACCTATTTAATTCTAAGAAAACAAGAATTAGACGAATGTACGAATAATAATTTATACCTATGCGGAAAAAATCAACCAATTTATCATGTTAACGAAAATACACCGTGCGAAGCGAAAATTTATGTACAAGAACAAAACTATCGCAACCAATGTAATATAGACCATAAAAAAGCGACCCGCGCAATGTGGATCACATTACAACAGCCGCACTCTTGGTTATATTCGACATCATTTGAGCAACAGATCACGATAAAATGTAATAATAAGATAAAATGTAAAGATCATCCTGAGTATAAAAGGATAATCAAAAACACAGGTCGGATTATATTACACGATAACTGTAAACTAATAACTACAGACATGACGATACAGACAGAAATAATTACATACAGCGTGTCAAAAGTTCCGGGACGGCTGGATAATTTGAAAAATACGCATCACAGAGGAAAATGACCTAGACAAAAGTTGTAGAATTTTTCCCGGGCAATCCGACGGTGACCTTAGATTTGACTTTGGATAGTTATTTGAAGGTCACATAAAGATTACCTTCAATTTCTTAAATGGAACCCCCTATTTTTCATTGCATATTCTTGTAGCTTATCTCGAGAGCTTTCCAAAACACTATAATTAAGTACCTTTTTATTAAGTACTTTTTGAGTTATAAGGCTTGAAATAATTTTTTAATTTTACATAAACCATAAAATATCTAGTAAACCATTCATTTTTCGATTATCTTACCTTCATACTTTTATGTACAAAATAATGAAAGGAATCAATTGGTGTAAAGAAAACACATAGTTGTTTCTAAGAAAAAATATGTAATTTGCAATTAACAATTCCATATTTTTTCTTAAAAACAACTGTATGTTTTCTTTACACCAATTGATTCCTCTCATTATTTTGTACATAAAAGTATGAAGGTAAGATAATCGAAAAATGAATGGTTTACTAGATATTTTATGGTTTATGTAAAATTAAGAAATTATTTTAAGCCTTATAACTCAAAAAGTACTTAATAAAAAGGTACTTAATTATAGTGTTTTGGAAAGCTCTCGAGATAAGCTACAAGAATATGTAATGAAAAATAGGGGGTTCCATTTAAGAAATTCAAGGTAATCTTTATGTGACCTTCAAATGACTATCCAAGGTCAAATCTAAGGTCACCGTCGGATTGCCCGGGAAAAATCCTACAACTTTTGTCTAGGTCATTTTCCTCTGTGATGCGTATTTTTCAAATTATCCAGCCGTCCCGAAACTTTTGACACACGCTGTATAATACGAGCATAGAAACATTTCTACCAGAGTTCAATATAACAATTACAGAAATCAATGACGAACAAAATCACGAATACGAATTTAAAGAAATAATAAATAATCCATTAGAATTAAAAGGATTAAGTAATAAATTAGAAGAAATTAATAATAACTTGAACAATAATAACAATAACTTTTTTAAACAAAAGCAATTCATTTATACAACAGCTTCTAGCGGAATAACTATTTTAATCATTATAGCATTAATAGCCTGGATAATAATCCAACATAGAAAAAGAAAAACTAAACGATCAGCTGTTGTTACATTAGTAGATGAAATTGACAAATCGTATGGAATGCCTAGACCAATATTAAAAAGGACTAAGAGCACACGGTTTTAGAATAAATAAATTTTAATCTAGAAATACGAAACGATTATAATGAATATTGTACACGGGAAATATATTATATTTAAAATAAGGACAGGTATATGCACATTTAAAAGATAGAAAAACTTCGTTTACAACCTCCGTTTTTCTTTTCCAACGGGGGAGAGATGTTATAGTCCGAAAGACTATAACTTTTTATTTCATTGATAATATTAATAGAATATTCGCGAACCACGCAAAACCGCTAACCCAGCGAACCACGCGTAAGGACGTCCACCGGAAACGCGAAAAACGGAATATCTCCAGACCCGTCGAAGTTAACGGAAATAAAGGAATTTCCGACGCCGAAAAAAGTGAAGGATATCCAATCCTTCATAGGATTAGCCGGATATTGCAGAAAATTCATCGAGAATTTTTCAAAGATCGCTAAACCGCTAACAAAATTACCCAAAATTAACCAAAAAATCGGAAAAATTTATATGGACAACAGAGCAGCAAGCAGCATTTGAATTATTAAAAGAAAAATTAATGACTGCACCAGTGTTGAAGTACCGACTTCACACAAGAATTTATAGTGACCACCGATGCATCCGATTATGCGATCGGAGCAGTGCTATCACAAGGAGAGGTAGGCAACGACCGACCGATTGCTTACGCCAGCAGAATACTGACAAAGGCGGAGCAAAATTACAATACCACAGAAAAAGAATTATTAGCCATCGTTTGGGCAGTAAAACATTTCAGACCGTATGTCTACGGAACAAAATTCAAAATAATAACGGACCACAAACCGCTAATATGGTTATTTAATGTTAATGATCCCGGATCGAGATTGATTCGATGGAGATTAAAATTGAAAGAATACGAATATAAAATAATTTATAAGGCCGGACGAGCGAACGCGAACGCCGATGCGCTAAGTCGCAACGCAATAACCGGAACGTCAATAAAAAAGGATGAAGAAATTCTGAAGATAGAAGAAGAAGAAGAAGAAGCAGACACTGATAATATAAAAACATATACAGAAGAAGAGAAAAAACAAATATTATCAGAATATCATGATGCACCTATAGGAGGGCATCAGGGAATTGAACAAACAATTAAAAGAATTCGATTACAACACAATTGGAGAGGACTAACTAAAGACATAGAACAATACATCGCGAAATGTGAATCGTGTCAAAAAAATAAATTATCAAGAAAAAACAAAGTCCCTTTAATAATTACCGACACGTCTAATAAACCATTTGAAAAATGCGCGTTAGATATAGTCGGACCGCTAACTATTACTAATAACGGAAATAAATATTTATTATCTTTCCAGGACAATTTAACTAAATTTAGTAAAGCTATACTGATCCCGAATCAAGAAGCGAACACTATCAGTAAGGAATTGGTTACAAAAATAATACTCAAACACGGAATACCGGAAAAAATCCTGACGGATCAAGGAACGGATTTCATGAGCGAAATCTTTAAAAATACGTGCAAACTATTAAAAATAAATAAAATACAAATAACCGCGTATCCAGAAAGTAACGGCGCGTTAGAACGATCGCGTCGAACGTTAGCAGAATATTTAAGACATTATATAAAAAAGGACCAAACAGACTGGGACGAATGGATACCGTTCGTGATGTTCACTTATAACACAACGCCGCACACCGCTACAGGATACACCTTTCGAATTGGTGTACGATGTTGTGCCCGGCGCGGCACGGGATGTGGGGTAGCCGGGGATCTTCAACCAATTCTTCCAAAATGTCGTTTTGCAACAGATTTATTATATAACTCTTCGCTACAAATATATTCGCTTTGATATTAATCAGTTTCTTTCGAGCCTTCCCTTCGTCGTCCTTTCCTGAATCGCTTCGTTCTCAGATTTAGAGTGTTTAGCAATTTCGTCGGGTGATTCGTCGCGCAGTATAGCGGTTAGCCTTCGGTTTCGCACTATTAACGATTGTTTTGTGATTAACGACTGTCCACTGCGGACTCGCGGTGGACGGCTTTTATTCCCTCGGCTTTTATCCCTTTTTGGGGGTGTTTTGGAGGGGATCGCCTAGCGACATGACCATGTATGGTCACGGAGGTTATTTCGTGGTGTGCAAAGTCCAAGTGCAAGCGAAGGAGGTTCAAAGTTGAACCCCTTCTTTAGCGTTTTTCGCGTTTTCGGTGGACGTCCTTACGCGTGGTTCGCTGAGTTAGCGGTTTTGCGTGGTTCGCGAATATTCTATGAAATAATAAGTTATAGTCTTTCG